TTTTTTTAAACAACTTCCCCCACTAGTGTTAGTGGTGCTGATAAGAGCAGAGACCACTAGCACCTGAGGAGAGGCTCCATCTATTGGTGGGGAGTGTCACCTGCTGGAAACCGGGTCCAGCGTCCCATATACAAAAAGAATTTAGTACTTCAAAGGGGCTATTTCTGGATGAATCTGACCAATCATTCGTGCTATATTCAGCTCCACTTAATGGAAAGCAGTTTTCTGGCCAGATTCGCTCCGAAATAGCACTCAGTGATGGCGCAGCCCCAGTGCTAAAAACAAAAAAGGGTGCTGGTCCTGACATAACGCGCCCTCTTGTTTTTCCATTTTTGAGAAAACTATGGTGCGGTCTGGGTTACAGTATGTAAATGCATTTGGAACATGGTTTCTGCAGTCTAGTCACTGCCCAGGTTTGACGTGCAGTTGAGGTTATTACAACGGCGGCAGCACCGGTGACGACAACAGCGATAACAGAAGCAACTACAGCAATGACAACAACAACAACAACAACAACAACAACGACAACAACAACAACGACAACAACAACAACAACAACAACAACAACAGTCGCAATGGCAACAACAACAACAACAACACTGGCATCGACAAGGGCCGCCACAACGACATCAGCAAAGATAAAGTCAATAGCAACATCAACATCAGCACAGTGGGGGCACTGGGGGGGAATTAGCGGTTTGACTGGGCTGGCGAGGTGGGGCTTGGGGTTGAAGGTGCAATTTACCATTTCCCGCCCTTTCTATCCGGTGTTTCTACATCATGTTGATTCGTTCCTCTTTGTCCTGCACCGGGTGGGAGTAGGGTGGATGATCTCCCCCTTGTTGATTGGAGTTGACCGGCCCTCAACTTCCAATCATGAAGCCTTAGGGGTGTTGATTGCCCCCAAGGGGAGGTAGGTTGTTTAGGGTTTTGAGTAAACTTTGGTTTGATTTCCTTGTTGGGGTGATCGATGAAGATGCTTTTCATTAGGATTACGATTGATGGGCAGGAGGTCAATCCTTCCCTTGCGCAGGGACGTAATCAACGCCTCTGCTCTTTTCGGAAATATGGTGGATATGGCGGAAAGGGTTTCCCTGCATGCGACATAGGTTGAGGTACGAACATATACAAACTGTTTTGGATGCATAGCATGATATCTCTACACATCATTGTATAGGGATGCTGGACCTAATTTCCAGCTCACAGACATCATATCATGGTCAAGGGACGCTGGACCCGATTTCCAGCAAATGTAGCTCCCCACCAATAGATGGAGCCTTCAACGATGAGGCCTAATTACCGGGGCTGCTCTTATCACCTCGTTAAGTAGGTTTTCCCATGCATGAAGTTTTTTAAAAAAGAAAAAGAAAAAAAAAGGCCTGGCAGCTTAGGACATGGGGGTTGGGTTGCAAGGGTGGATTGGGCAGGCAAGGGGCGGGAGGGCGAACAGGAGGAGCTCAAAAGGGACTACAAACTCTCCTTTAATGATTGGAAAGTAGGCGACGCCACAATCCCGATGCGTCCCCTATCTGATTTTC